ACCCTACTCCGGACGCGTACATGCGTTGGCAAGTCGTCATTATAGATGACGTCAACACTGGGGACAGTTTCTACGCGTGTGACACTGCCTGCGAACGATGTCGACGGGCTCTTGCCTCCACTGCTGCTAGAATAAGTACACATTGAACAGTTACACGACGACTCCGTGTAGGGTTTTCCCATTCGATAACACTTTCTACTGGGAGTGAGGACGTCTGTCTCGTCGTCTATCTCTCGAGCCATTTTCGAGATATCCTTTTGACACACCGTCTGCATGGTCGTTTACTTTCGTGCCCTGACAGTTTAATCATAAACACAAAAGTTTCGTTAGAGTTAAATAGACTTGCTGTACAATACGCAATCGAAAATTTTGGAGCGCATGCCGCAATGCACGGGTGCAAAATTGGCCGGCGGGCGCACGTATGCGATATGATGCGACAGTTTGACCGTCGCATCCGACGATGTCCACCGTATGCCCCACCTCAGCAGTGGTGGGAGCAGGGACGGTGACTTGCGCAGGGTTTTACGGTGCCAGTAGACTTCCGCGACATCTACCACACTCCCTCCTCCTCCCCCGCCTGCGTCCGGTGTCAAGAGAGAGTTAAGAATACCGGGGACGAGGTAGGGCGCAGGTGAATGGCACGGTCGAGCCCTCACCTTGACATTCCACTCTGCACCCTCTGGTTCGCACTACAAATGACCAGGTTTTGACCAACACAACAAAGATTGGAGGCTGGCACGGCCGAAGCCGCACTTTGGCGTGCCGTCCACGCCCGGCTCGGATCCCACACAGTGAAAGTTCCATAAAGGCCACATTAAGAAGGAGCTATTGCAGACTGACACCAGGACCACAAGTCGGCCGCCCCACACAAACACACAACACTGGTCCGACTGCAAGGTCGAACATATCCCGTCAGTTGGCAACCATCCAAGCCACGGCATTTAGCGTACCGTTATAGCTTTAAGCGCGTCAGATTGTTTATAGTGAGGAAGATGCGCTGAGCCATCGACCTTACTCTGCATTTCCATTCCACAAGCCCCAGACGCTGTCCGAGCCGGTTAGTTGACAGGTACATGAATGGGCGTAGTGGCCTTGTCTGCACACGCCACGTGCACAACCTATCCCCCCAAACACAAGTACCAGGATTTCACAAAACGGGGGTTGTGTGGTATACGTCTCACATGCGTGAGAGTGCTGCAGGTCACGTTAAGAGGGAGCTGATTCAGCCTGGTTCTCGGCCCACCATACCGCCACTCCACACATGCACACACATAACTGGGCAGACTGCGTGGACTGAGTTGGGGCGTCGGTTAGCAGCCTTGCAAGCCACGGCGCTTGACGCACCGTGATAGTCTCAGACTCGAACCACCTATGCAGCAAAGGAGACGCATTGAGAATGATCCGAGCCTCACAATTCCCACTTATGTGGGAGGTGGCAGTTGAATACTTGTAATGGGCGATGTTGTGTAATGTAGGTAGGGGAAGATTTAATGATTTGATGTAGCCGGCGGTTGTCTACCGCAGGTTTTCGGGAATGAGTGTGTAGCTTGATAAGCTCATGTGGCGGGTGAATGTGCGGATTCAGTGAGGGCAGCTGAGGCGGATGCGTCTGGTGAATGTTGGTTCTCTAGACACTGGTTCGCCAGTCTCCGTGTGATGGATTCGTAAGTGACCGACCAGGCCGACGTGCGAGGTGAAGGTGTGGTCGCAATGAGAACAGGTATGGACCGAGTGAACATCGCTGGCGGTGGCGATGATGAGGTTGATGTTTGTCGGTGTGTTAGGATTGAGTGCAGTATAGGTGGGTGCATGAGCCGTTGTAGCGGATGCTGAGGCGACGGAGGAGGATGGCGGCGGGGGTTCAGGAGTGTGGTCAGTATCGATTGTCGGCGTGCGGCACGTTGCAGAGATGGACGGGGGGACATCGGGTGGTGTCGTCCGGGTGCTGTGGTTGGTACAAAGTTGCCCAGTGAGAGCGATTGGCGCACGGGATATCCGCTGACATCGTTGGCAGGTTGGGGGGCAGATGAGATTTACGAGCTTCGCGTTTGGCTTTTGCGGCGGTGATGCAGTTGGCTTCGTAGATTGCCGCGTCGGTCTTTACTGCTCTCGGCCAGGTCAATCGGCTGCCGGCGAGGTCGTCTTAGTTGGCTGGGTCGATTTGCCGGCGCCTCAAGTAGTCTGTGGGGTATCCTTGTAGTGCCGGACTTGACCTCCTTGTCGGCGGGAACTCGTAGCGACTTCTCCATAGAAGAGTCGTCTAGGTGACCGCTCGTCGTCCATGTGCACCAGATGGCCGCTCCAGCGCAGTTGCAGTTGTATCGGCATGATATATATGGTGAGGATTCCCATGCGTTCCAGTACGTCCGTGTCCGGGATCTGGTTCTGCCACCTCGGCTTCAATATCTTTTGGAAACAGCTGACGTGGAAGTAGTTTAGTCTGCGTGCCTGCTTCTTGTACTCCGTCCAGGTTCCCGCTTCATAAAGCAGCGTCGGCAGGATGACCGCTCTGTACATCTCCCGTTTGGTGCTGATATGGTGACTGTGTCGATTCAAAACTGTGTTTCGCAGACGGCTGAAGGCCTGACAGGCCTTGGAAATCAGACGGGCCACTTCGTCGTCGACTTTGGTTTTGCGAAAGAGGGTTCTGTTCAGGTAGACGAAGTCGTCCAGGGCTTGCAGTCGGGCGTCGTTCATGTTGGTTTGAGGAACGATGTAGACAGCGTCGGTGGCCGCTGATGCATAACCACTGTCTTCTCCGTGCTGATGATTGGACCGGAGTTTTCGCGGGCGTTGGCCAAGAGATCCATGCTACTTTGCATGTCCCCCTTGGAGGTGATGTTGAGTGCGCAAATAAATTCTCAAATAATGTTTCCCCTCCATCGGTTTACTGAAACTAGCCAGCGGTTGTAAGTTGGAAAAGGTTCTTGGACTGTTTCCAAGCAGCTTTTATTCCGGACATTCTCAAGTTCCTCCTATAGCGATATATTGTCTGGCCGAGTGCACACGGCAATAAATGCCTCGCATGCCAGTATTATTCTAAATTAATTTGCACAACGCCTCAACTTCAAACAAGATGGGTGGGTGAACAAACAAGGTCGAGCCGTAGAATACGCTAATCTTGTTCTGACAGCGCTGACTGGACTGCATTCAGGGGAGTGTATGGCTAGTTCCACCGACTCCCCAGACTCGATGGTGTCAAATAATCCTCAACCTGCGGTAAACTGCAGAACCTGGCGGCATTGGCAGATGTTAGTTGGCGACTTCCTCCCCTCCATTTGCGTCTGCAAAGCCTTACCCATTTCAGTTTTCTCGTTATTTGTTCGCAACAGCTTCCCCAACGGCCCCATTGGCTCATCAGCTGCAACAACTAGCATGACTAGTGGTCACCATACTTATGAATTCTATCGCCACCACGAACGTTGCGCCTCCATCACAGTCACAGTTATGCTGCCCTTCCCGTATTAGGAACCTACTCCGACAAGCAGGAAACTTAATTCCCCCTCTTATCTTTGCTTTGACACACCTGCCTTTCCCAATCGGAAACCGGCAAGTTGACCGCGCGCATTTCATTTAGTAAAAGGTAAAAAGTGAACTGCAGAGCCCATTCACGCACCCTACTCCGGACGCGTACATGCGTTGGCAAGTCGTCATTATAGATGACGTCAACACTGGGGACAGTTTCTACGCGTGTGACACTGCCTGCGAACGATGTCGACGGGCTCTTGCCCCCACGGCTGCTGGAATAAGTGCACATTGAACAGTTACATGACGAATCCGACGGGCGCACGCCCCACCAGTATGCGACAGTTCGACCGTCGCGTCCGACGTTGTCCACTGTATGCTCCACAGCGGGGTTGGAGCATGCACGGTAACTTGCGCAGGATTATAGTGAGAGTAGACGTGCGCTGTATCTACCACAAACACTCCTCCCCCCACCTGGACCAGGTGTCAAGACAAAGTCAAGAAGACCGGAGACGGGGGAGGGCACAGGTGGATGGCACGGTCGAGCCCGCACCTTGATATTCCACTCCACACCCCCTGGTCCACACCCTTGGTTGGAAATTGGGTCTCGCCTCTTGGCCGCGGTAACGGAGCGCGTGATAGCAGGGGTGTATGCCAACGTGCCTGTTGATAGAGTTGGTGTCAGACACCCAGGCCTCTAACATTTCTCGTCCTGTCTTATTGTTGGCCCGCGCCACTATCCGCGTGCTCGCGAAGTTGAATTCGTGGCCCTGCTCCATGGTGTGAGTGGCGACCTGAGACAGTCAGCCGCCTCTCCGGACCGCCCGTTTGCGCTCCGTTATTCGTGAGCTAAGTCGTCGTCCGGTTTGTCCTGTGTAGCGGCGAGGGCAGTTCCGACATGAGATCTGATAGACGACACCCAATTGTTCTCCCCACATCTAGCCGATCCTTCACTCGCATGATTTTGCTGCGCATGGTCGCTGCCGGACGGTGAGCGATACCCACGGCGAGCTCTCCAGCAATACGTTCCATCGCTTCGGACACGTTTTTTATATATGGTAGAGGGTGCCAAAGTGTTGGCGGCTCTCCTCCGTTTGTTCGCCATGGGCGCGTACTGAGGCAACGGCTGACGAAGCTGTTCGCGTATCCATGCCTTGCCAGTTGGTCCCGAAGATGCCGAAGTTCTCGTACTCGTCCCTCTGGTTCACTGCAGTGTGTTTTTACCCTTTGGAAGAATGTCCTAACACAGCTGCGTTTATGCGCCATTGGGTGGTTACTGTGGTAGTTGAGAATCTGAGTCTTGTTAGTCGCCCTTCTGTACACCGTGGTCTTGAGTTCGCCGTTGGGTGTGCGTGTGACGAGAACGTCAATGAGAGGTAGCAGTTCGGAATGCTCTTCTTCCCTTGTGAACTGAATGTCCGGGAAGATGCCGTTGAGCAGGTCTTGAAAGTCGGCCAGTCTGCTCCCTTCAATAATAACGAACGTGTCGTCCACGTACCGACGCCAAAATGAAGGTTCATAGGGGTCGAAGGCGACATTTTCCAGTTCCTGCAGGACTAGTTCTGCAACCAGGCTGGATATTGGCGAACCCATAAGCGTTCCTCTGATCTGCTCGTATATTCTGCCATTGAAGGTGAAGAAGGTTTATTGGCAGAAGGCAAACAGTTGCAGTAAGTGGTCGACTTTTAGGGGTCTGTTCGTTTCGTCGTAATTTTCTTCGAGTCGTTTGCGAAGAACCTCGCGTACCAGGTCCGGTGGGATGGACGTGAATAATGAAACCACGTCAAAGGACACCATAAACTGCTCCGGTCGGACAACTTTTCATCGAATGCCTGTCAGGAATTGGGAGGCCAAATTGATGGAGGTCCTCAAGCCTTCTCGGAAAAACTTAAGTCTTCGGACCATCCACTTGCATAGATTGCAAGTGGGGCTGCAATATTAAAATGTTTTGTCACTCTGATATTCAAAATTATCCGACTGCTCATAAAACGTCCTCCTTCGCCGAACAATTTAAAATAAATTTTGGCATGAAAGTTACTCCTCTTTGCATGGCCAACTTAGCCCTTATATCTTTCAAACATGGATTTTCAATCGATCGCCCTTGCGATCCGTTTAATATGTCGTTTCTCAATTCACTTATTTTTCTTCGTAATGGTCATATATCTGAGGTCGTTATATATTTTGATCTGAATAAAGGCTTTCGCAAAATGTCACTTAGAAGACTCTTAGTTAAATTAGAATCTCTGGGACGTCGTAGTCCTCTAATTGACTTTTTACGTCATACCTATCTATTATTAGGCAAAAAGTTTTAATAGGATCTTGGGCAGATGACTTGCGTACTTAGGAGGAAAGACAACAGAAGAGAGAGAGTGATCGGTACTGGCGTATCGTCCTTACGGCTCTTTACCGCATACCCCACTAAGATGAATTTGATATGCCTGAACCTCTCACAGTGCAGTTAATGTCGTGTCTTTGAAGCCTGATAGATTAACCCGTTCTTTCCCAGGAATGAGGGGTAGATTTCGTTGACTCTTTCTAGATTTGACCATATTGACTAACTTCTGCATGTGAAGTTCGAGCCGGATTTATTGTAGTTTGGCATAGTCGGAGTAAAAGCCGGGTCCTGTGTGGTGCATAGGAACTTGTTGTTTCGCTTTGTCACCCACTACATGGGTGCCCATTTCCGAGCACCATGCATTGCCCTGCATTAGAGTAAGGTGGGTGAGTGAAGGGAGAGTGCGATAAATGCCGCGCATGCCAGCATTATTCTAAATTAATCTGCACACTCCAGTTACCGATGTTGCGCCCACTCACGGGAGCTGAGAGATGATAGGGTCGTCTGCGACTTATGCAATCCTGACCTCGAGGAATATTCATTGTAGAACAATTGTCCACCGAAGGCCCTGCCGGACTTTTTAATACAAAGTTAGATCCTGTCGGTAATTGCTCGACCCTCAGTTAGCTACAAAAGGATGGGTTACATGAGGAACGGAGCATCGAGCCCCAACAATTTTTGGGGCTCTTCTCTGCACTCCTTTGTAACAATTTTGACGCTGATCCGCCCATGGTCTCCAGGGTTTTATCCCGTATTCCTAGTGCGGCGCACGAATTTTCCGATAGTCTTTGAGAAGACGTGTTCGTCAAAATCCCTAAACACATGCTTGATGACTTACAGTATAAATATTGCGCTTCTCGCTATTCTCAAAAAATGAGCAGATGGTTTCAGACAGTTCGTCGTTAGCGCACCGAGGTCCTTTTGGGCTTCGACGTCTTGTAAGGCTGTGCCGTCAAGAAAGCAGTATCTTGCGCTGGCGGATATGGGTGGGTTGCCTAGGCGAAGAATAGTACACTTGTCTACGTTGAACCACATGACCCAACGGTTAGACCACTCCTCCAACCGATTTATGTTCATTCGCTATCTGTCTTCGTCAGCAGGGCCCTGGATTACAATCCATACTATCATGTCGTCCGCGAACATTGCCTCTTTGCAGTCCGAAGCACTTGCGCAATCGTCCACGTATGTTAGGAAAAAAAGGTTCAAAGTACTCCACCCTGGAGTGCAACACTGTGGATCACGGCAGGATCGGAAATTTCTTAACCGATGCACACCACCTGGTGACGACCCACAAGGAGGTTTTGAATCCATTTGAGGTAGTTCCCTCTGATCTATACTTTCCCAGCATGTATAACAGCCTCTGGTGTTGCAAAGTGTCAAACGCATTCTAGAAGTCAATGAAGGTGATGCGGTTGGCAAGATTGTGTTCACACATGAGAAGTCTGTGGTGTCGGTGTCAGTTACGAAAATGCATTTTTGACGGTGTTGGTGGTAATGGTGGTGGTGGTGGTGTTGGTGGTGGTGCTGGTAGTGGTAGTGGTGGTGGTGGTGGTGTTGGTGGTGGTGGTGG